TTCAGTTTGAGGTTATTTGAAGGGATGTACTATTTTCGTGCGTTTTAGTACTTCTGACTATTAAAGCATATTCCAGACTCAAATCAAACCCTTTAAAATTCATTTTTTATTTTTATATATTCAGTAAATCATAACAAACTCTCACTTAATTAATGAATTTAGGTGTGCTGGTTTTGTCGACGTCTTGGCGTTGCAGTTTGAAAGGTGTGCCCGATTTCTTGAAGGTTAGGGTCAAAAATATTTTGAAAAGTGTTAAGTAGGAAAGAGATAAGTTTATGAAAAACAACCAGCTATAAAGGGAAAGTGTAAATGAATTTTTGTCACCTCTTCAAGTTTTTAACACCTTTTACAAACTTTCTTTTGACATTGGCAATGAAAACGCAGATATAAAAACGAACTTGAGAAGACAAAGTTTTTATTATCCAATCAGATTACTGTATTTCTTAAAATCTGGATTTATCTGGTTCAGATTTGGATTAATCTGGTTCAGATTTCGAAACCGAGGCCCTGAGGTCAAAGGCAATATCCATTTTATTTTCAATAGATATCTACGAGGAAAACGAGATCCAACTGTATTATATATTATGTTTACATCCTGTGGAGATAGGCACTGGTCATTTTTCAGATTTAAAATCCATGAGTATTGCAAAGTATAACTTATATATTATATTCGCGTCACAAAAGCATAAATTATATATTCGCGTCACAAAAGCATAAATTATGTATTCGCGTCACAAAAGCATAACTTATATATTCGCGTCACAAAAGTATGATCGCAAAAGCATAAATTATATATTTGCGTCACAAAAACATAAATTATATATTAGCGTCACAAAAACATAAATTATGTATTCGCGTCACACAAGCATAAATTATGTATTCGCGTCACAAAAGTATGATCAGAAAAGCATAAACTATATATTTGCGTCACAAAAACATAAATTATGCATTCGCGTCACAAAAGCATAAATTATATATTCGCGTCACAAAAGCTTAAATTATATATTCGCGTCACAAAAACATAAATTATGTATTCGCGTCACACAAGCATAAATTATGTATTCCCGTCACAAAAGTATGATCACAAAAGCATAAACTATATATTCGCGTCACAAAAACATAAATTATGTATTCGCGTCACAAAAGCATAAATTATATATTCGCGTCACAAAAGCATAAACTATATATTTGCGTCACAAAAGCATAAATTATATATTCGCGTCACAAAAGCATAAATTATATTTTAGATTCTCGGAGTCGAGGCACGAAGGGTCGGGCCCCCAACGGATGATAGAGGGCCCGAAATGAACTTTGAGCATTTCGAAGGCTTAATTTTCACTTTGAAATCAGACCTTTCACAGAGTGAGTGAGCTAGGGTTAAATGAAATATTCTTACCTTCCATTTCTGTTGATAATCATCTCGGTGCCATGCTTTCTAAATGTGTTCCAAAGATTCGAGTCGTGGAGGGTGACTGTTATACCGTCGACCTTCTTGCTAATAGTGGGCTCTAAATCTGGGGAGGGCGATGGGTGGTTAGGTGGTGAAGGTGATGCTTGTTCTTCCTTCATTGAAGCCTCTATCTTCCCCGCTTTTTCAGCTGATTGATATACACAGGGCATATGACCGAGTCCCATTTTACTCTTGTTAACTAATGGGGTTGTTCGTAATTCTGGAGCCGAGTTTGTGAAACCTCTGTTTAGTGAAACTTCTACTTTCTTTGAAGAACTGGACAGATCTAATGCTGAGTTGTACATGAATGGTCGTGCATCTGTTTGCTCTGGGGATCGACCCATCTTGGAATCGTAGGTGAACTGCTCAAAATTGTAGATTGATTCGTGGAAATTTTCCTGCGATTGCTGGATCCATTTTAATGTACCATATCTTTGAAATGGACTCTCGGTTACTTCGTACCCCTGTGATGACATTTTCATGGGAGAGTACTGATAATTTCTAAATATAGATTTATCGTCTGGTACTCTGTCGTCATGAATTACTTCCGGTGGTGATGTGTCCAATCCGTCATCAGACTGTCCTGACCAATCTGTACGACTCTTCACTCGTGTCGGAAGTCGCATTGAGCTGCAGTGTCGAATATATTGCTGGGATGGACATCTTTCATTGTCGAGGGGGCTTGAGCTGCGACTCGAATCTGAGTCTGAAAAGTCGTCGAAATTTGATTTGTTGCTATTCGCTCTCTTTCTAGATGGTACACTTAGATCTAAAACCTGGAATTGAAATGGAATTATAATTAAATGAATTTGTAATGACATGAAATGAATTTGTAATGAAATGAACTTGAACTTCAAATGAATTCGAATATGAAATGAACTTCAAGTGAACTTGAATATGAAATGAACTTGAACTTCAAATGAATTCGAATATGACATGAACTTGAATATGAACTTGAATTTGAACTTCAAATGAATTCGAATATGACATGAACTTGAATATGAAATGAACTTGAACTTCAAATGAATTCGAATATGACATGAACTTGAAATGAACTTGAATTTGAAATGAATTTAGAATGAAATT